AAAATTTGTCATAGAAAAATGTTACCAATTGTAAATTTTACTGACAATTTATAAAAATTGTGATAAAAAAAAAGTCACTAATTGTCAACTCTTAGTGACATGCAAAAAAATTGTCACAAAATTATTTTTAGCGACGATTTTATTAAGATTTATTTTTAATAGAATTTCAGGAGAATTAAGTAAACTGTTAGGATCTATTGATAGTTTACCTAAAAAAAATTTGGTAAATTACTAATAGAAAACAAGTTCTTACATAAGGGTTGTGAAAAAAAAAAAAATCATTTCCTATAGTTGTATACTATTAATGAAGTCATTTTGTTGGTCAACAATTATTTTTAAAATAAACACAAAAACAAAAAGAAGTGACAAACACTTATTCTGTATAAGGGTGAGCAGCGGATATATCGATCCGTCGAAACCGACCGAGCCAAACCAATCCGCCGCATTTTGGACGGATGCGTGATGAGGAGCGGACGGTTGCGGATTGATTTTTTCCAATCCGCCAATCTAATGAATGGATGGCGGATTTGAGATTCCTTTGGCTGCAACCGAACTGCCAAACCGCGAACATCCCTAGTAATTTATAAGACTTTGTGTTTTCAGTTTGTTTAAATATTTTGTTTGTGTTTTTAATTAAAAAAGAGTTTAAATATTTTGTTGAAAAAAAAATTTCAACTTGAATATCTTTTTTGAATTGAAAAAAATAAACGTATTATTTATCTATATTTTTTGGTTTTTAAATCTATTTCTAAAAATAATAAATATAAAATATGATATATGCTGGTTGATTTTTGTTTTCAAAAACAGATATAGATGTAACAATACAGAGACATACAATCTCTACTATTGCTCTGTTCATGGTTTGGTGGTTTGAATTGTATTTATATTTTAAGAACTACAGATTGTAATACTTTATGTGGATGAGGCATGATGTGATTGTGATATTCTAAAGTTTCAAACTTTCTTTCTTTGGATGAGGCATGCAGTGATTGTAATATTTTTTTAAGTCATTAACTGTAATACTTTCTTTTTTTTTTTTTTTTAAGGAAGTGCACAAGTTGAATTATGTTGAAAATTTATAAAATTTTAAAGCGCCAAACCGATTCGCATCCATCCGCCAAACCGCTCAATCTACATCTGTCAGATTGGCAAACGGATGCGGATTGATTTTCTCCAATCCGCCAAGCTGGCGGATAGATGACGGATTGGAGGTTCTGTGACCACAACCAACCCGTGCCCACCCCTAATTCTGTAAATAAAATTGAGTAGATCATATTGACAAGTAGCATATGAAATAGTTGGATATCATCTCATTATACATTGTGAAAAATTAATGAAATATAAAGGGCTTTTTTAAAAAAAATAAAATAAAAAATAGCTAGAATGAAATATAGTTAGTAAAATGTGTTTAAAAAAAAAAAAATCAAGAGATAATCTTATTGTACATTTTACAAATACTCTTGAATATAGAAGTAATAACGTAATTTTCCCACTGTAGCTCTGCCATTGGACATGAACACGCTATCACGGGAATTTTGAAAAAAAATTCAGGACACAACGCGTGTAGAACACGTGCAAAATATATGATTTTATCTTTTTAATATGTAAATATTTTATTCAAATTTAATAGAAGTATACAACATAACATGAATTTCTGAAGTTAGAATTAATAACTATAAATATACATTATTTTTCTTTATTAATCATATACTAAGTTATTTTAAACTTATAATGTGTTTTATGTATGTCTATGCAATGAATATGTGTGTGCCCAACGTGTCTGAAACATGTTCAAGTCTAATTTTAAAAATAATAATAATAATAATAATAATAATAATAATAAATTATGTTTGAACGTGTATCCGACATGTCAAAAGTGCTCGACATAGTATCGAACATGGGCAATTACCTCCTCAAATGATTTTTATTTTTATTTTAATATTTTTAAAGGGAATGGTAGAGATTAAGCCCTATCTAAGCAACCAACAAACACCACTAAACCATTAATTGAGTTACAGAAATAAAAACATTTATTATTCAAAGTAAATAAATGCACATAATTTGAACTATATATCCTGAAGCTTGGTGGTTGTTTGTTATTTTGTGTGGTGCAGAATCAATGTGTGAACACGGAAAAATCTCATTACTCGGGCACTGTGAATGGAACAATCCATGTGGTGGTAGGTGGTGGAGGAAGCCACCTGTCAGAGTTCAGCTCACTGCAGACTCCATGGAGTCTTTACAGGGATTATGACTTTGGATTTGTGAAATTGACTGCATTTAATCACTCTTCACTTCTGTTTGAGTACAAGAAGAGCAGTGATGGAAAGGTCTATGACTCCTTCACCATCTCAAGGGACTACAGGGATGTCTTGGCCTGTGTTCATGATGGTTGTGAACCCACCACTTTGGCTACCTGATCTCAATATTCTATACTCTTTCTTCCATGACTACTGTGGTGAATATAGATGAAGACTATTGTGTTGAATATGTTTTCACCCTTACTGAATATAATTATGGATGTGGTTGATTAGTCATTTTTCAATAAAAAAATAAATCATTGCACGCGACACATTCTGTAGAATAGTGGCTCGTCCAGGCATCGTACCACAAAGATTAATGTGCTGAATTATGTTGATTTGAATGATAATTCATAAATTAAATTGATTAAAGCTTGTGGATTTAATTAAACTACTAAACGTAAGATTATATTAATTAGCAAGTAAATTTGATATGTTCCAAATATAGAAAGAGGCTTACGACTTTGAATCCGTCGTTAATTGAACATCACCTATTTTATGTATTTGATTCTAGAAATTCAATGGTTTGAAGAATAATAATAATAATAATAATGTATCGTGGCTATAGGCTCTGCTTTCGTCATTAAGAAGACAATTATATTCAAATTGCAACCACGAATTATACTCGGCCAACACTTACCATCTACACTAAATCAGGATTGCCACATATTCGTCTTCCTTAGGCTTGACTTGTGTCATAATTTGTATATACAGATATGTAAAATAATTGTATGAACATGTGCTCTCAATCACAAAAATCGAACACATTAATTGAATAATTTTTTTTTAATAATCATATAACGATTACCCAATCTCAAAGAAATCAAATCAAAATACAAAATTGAAAGATACTCGACTATGGCTTCATAGCTGCTTATGGAGAGAATAGAGTGGAATCTGCAAAAGTTGAAGAAACCATGGATGATGATTGGATGCACCTCTCCAGCTTCAAGCCATCTTTTCTAGGTTTTCGGATCCTTAGAAATGAGTTTTCAGCCTCCTTTCCACTCAATTTGTCCCAAGCACGCAAAACAATGTAAATTTGCTTGTGCTGCCTAGATGGTTTGCACGAGCAGATCAAGTCAAGGTCAATTCTTGTTAAAATTGAGCCATTTGCGGGGCACATGATTTACATGTGCGAATTGCTCTTGGTCCATTTTTGGCTCTTTTTCACTCATTTGGCATGCTTTTTAGCCTCAATACTATATCAGCTTACATGACAAGGAAAACTACTTTTATTATATCAAGTATTGATAGCTAAAGGACTAAAAACATAAGTTGATGGGCTTCAATGTGTAATATTTCGGCTCAGATCACACCATTCATCTTGCACTTTGCTAGTCCTCAAGCAAAGAAAAGAAAACAACTTAGGTCACTTCGTAAGGATCACAATTTCATTTATTGTATGCAACAAGTCTTTTAAACCACAATGTGAGGCATTAGGGCGAACGAAACCTTTATCTAATAATTCTTGTAATTGTACCTTCAACTCGCGTAATTCTACAGATGCAAATATATATTGTGTCATGGAAAGTGATGCCATGCTTAACACTAGACCAATGGAGAATTCAAATTGTCGGTGTGGTGGCAACTCGAAAAGGTCCTCTAAAAAGATATCAAAATACTCACAAACTATCCTTGGTATGGCATCACAAATCATGTTATCCTCATCAACTAAGGTAATGGTAAAAATAAAATTGAACTCGCCTCTACTTTAAAGTCATACAATGGGGGAATGAATCTATCACTTCAGTTACCCAAGAAATAAAAGCAATCCATATCCAAATTATGCATGGACACCCTCATATATATATATATATATATGTATGTAGGTGAGCTCACTCTTTTACTTTGGTATTATTTACTGGGTGTTAGCTCATTCCTTATTTATATGTATGTAGGTAAGTAGTGGGATGTCCAGCCCCAATCTTAGTAAGCAATGAGAAATCGAGTTTTGAGGAGTCAATGAAGGTGGCCTCATGCAAGAGACCTTACTTTTGTTTTGCTTCCCTTTTGTTCTTTTGTGGTCATGTATGACCAAATCTATGTATAACCTTGGTTTTGTTAATATTAACTTTTGAATGATCTTAGGCTTATGTAATACATATAAAATATAGATATTTGTATAGTGTGAGTTATTACATATATGAAAATGTTTTGATTGAGCCATGTATGCACAGTTTATTAGACAATCTTTGTAAATTTTACTTTCACAATTTGACCCCTGTTATTAAGGCCAAGTTTGGCTACAAAGAAAAAAGTGCACTTATTTCATCTTTTTATCTTTTTTGGGTCACATCAATCAACATCTCCTCTCTACTTTTTCTACACATAATACAAAAAAAGTCAAAAAGTGCACTTATTTAGTCTTCCCAAACTAGGCCTAAATATGATTTGATTTCGAACTGAGCCCACACGTAACCTCATTACTAAGGCCTAGTTTGGGAAGACTAAATAAGTGTACTTTTTGACTTTTTATGAAATATGGGTTGGGTTTGGGTTGGGTTTGAAGTGATGTGTTAGAGGGGTGATGTGATTTAAATAAGATGATATGACTTAAATAGAATAGTTAAAGAATAGTAACTTTTTAACTTTTTGTCTTTTTTCAATCTTCCCAAACTAGGACTAACTGGCTATGGGCGGATCCAGGTCATGATAGAATCTTTGCACGTACAATATATATATATATATATATAGAGAGAGAGAGAGAGAGAGAGTGTGACTGATTACGCAACCCTTACTCCACCGTTGTTGCCACCTCTTTCTATAGTTAAACACAAAAGCAAAATCAAAATCAAAAGCCCCATTAGTATGTCGAACCATCGTCGAAGTCAAAATTCAGAATCGAAGAGAAAGACAAGACAATGAATCGTCCAAAAGACTAAATCCGGAAGCTCTACATCTGCCCAATGCCACCTCTACATAAGAGGGCTTCAAATCGGTATTGGGACATCGATCAGAATACCATCCAAGCTCATGAAGAATCTATGATTAGGTAACCAAAAGTTTAGTTCTCGAATTTTTTGATGTGTTGTTTTGTCTAATGCTCACCATGAACGAATGAGGACAAAAACAAAATCTGATAAGCCTCCCTCTGTTTCGGAGACGTTTATTCTGTAATTGGGTTTTTCTTACAAAAAATCATATAGTGGAATCTGTTTTTTTATTTTTTTTCCATTTGGGTTTTTCATCATTTTTCGTCTTATCTCTTTCCGCGCTTGTTTGGTTCCTGGGTTTCGCACTAGTTTTTTTCCCCTTGAATTTCTCATTGTTCAACTTTATATCCCCAATTTTGGTTTCCTTTCATGTTAATTAGGCATGGGATTCTGAGTTGCCTTAGGACTGTTATCCATACCTCCACGTCCATTACTTGGTTTCTTGACACTTTTTAAATTAAATGTGCCTTATTTGATTTGCTTTTTGAAATCTTGATTTCTTTGAGTTTAAAAACAAGGGGGGAACTTTTTCGCATAGTTATTGAGTGAGGATAATATTAAACTAATTTTAATCTATCACACTTGCCCTTTGGAATTTTTTTGTCCAAAACTTTCAATTATTTGAACTTTGGTTATTGAGCTTCAAAATAATAAAATACTTAGTTCCATAACCATTAGTACTTGGATGCTGCTGTTAGTATGAGTTTGTAATTGTGGCTTTTGCTTGCTTGCCACATACAAAGAAGTTTTTTTTACTCTGCATTTTTTTCTATTCAAATTAACTTAATGCGTATGATATATCGTTGGACAGAGTTATTTGATGGGTATTTGCTTCATTTGGAATGTTACCATCTAGCACATTTAATTGTGATTGTGTTTTTAATCTATTTTTTAATTCCTATAAACATATAAATGTATAAGTATGGGATGAGGGGTCCCTGTTGTATTTATTTATTTTTTTCTTGTGCACATTCGACTGTCTGCCTATCAAGACATCTTTGTTGATTTAATGGATTTAGTGGATTTAGTGGTTGCTAAGTCTATCGCTTCTTTGTAATTGAATTCAAACTATTTCATATCTTTAAAAAAAAAAAAAAATGCCAAATGCATATAATCCATAAATTATCTGATAACATAGTAATGTAAATATATAATTAAGTGAAGAGGTTTGATGTTTACTATGTATGTGTGAAGTGATCCTCTATATTTAATGCAAGTGAAGAGACTTGATGAACAATTTGTTTTGACGGTTGAGATATCAGTTGAATTGTCAGAGCTATGAGTGATACCTTTAGTGCTAAATTTTAAAATTTGTTTGGACTTAGATTGTTTGTTCAATTTATGTATTCTTATGTGAAAGCGTGCTTAGCACGGGTTAGGTTTAAACCTTTAGGGGCAGTATTGAATGTGCTTGGGGATGTTTATGTGTGCTTGTGCATGTAGCTTGCACTTGCAAGTGTGCCAGCTATGTGTCTCATGTTGAATGAACATTTGCATGACATGTTGTAAGTTGTAGCTATTGAATTTTCTCTCATTTTTTCATCTTTTTCATTTTCTCCCAATGCAGAACAAAGAAGCTTCCAGTGCTCAAGTTAATGGGAGGTATGTATTTCCATCATTTTTTGGATTGGTTTTATTTTTTGTCCTTGCTTTGGACCACTTGGTTTCCCACCACAATGATTTCCCCATTTTGTGTCGGACATTAGATTTATATATGAATATACGTAATGTGTTCTTATTACTGTCATCAAATATATGATATATGTTGCACGTCTAATTTCTAGCAGCCATATTTTTAGATGTGTGCTATGTTTGTTGTTTTTCTCTAATTGTATTTTCCACAACCCAATAATTTGATTTCCTTTTTTATTATGTTTTATTTTTTTGGTGACGAAGCCACTGTGTCATATTTGTATTCCTTCAATTGCTTTTGACAGATAGGTTGTAAATGGTAGATCACAAGGGAAACAGTTGATTACGAAGGGAAGTCCGACTTTCAAAAGGAAGAAACTGTACGTTGAGATAAACATGAGCAGACGTATTTTATAGGAATTGAAATTTTCGGTGTTAGTGTTATTTCTGTTGCCATTTCTGCAGAAACGTGAAGTTCAAGGTTCAAGTTCAAGTTGTGAGTTGAATATTCCCCTTTCTTTTTAATGGTTAAAAATGATTTGATCTATCTCTGTATAGAAATGGCTTGCATGTACATTAATTGGATGTTTTATGTTACATGGCATATACTGGATTTAAATTCGATTTTGGATATTTGTAAATGAATTTATTCAACAAAGCCCTCATATGACCTCTTTTTGTGACCAGTGAGTACCCTTTTAGTATTATAAAACTGGTTGAAATTTGGTGTATCCTTTTCCATCCGTCATCTGATTCGGTTGACATTGTTGAACATTTTCCTAGATGGGATCATGGGTTGCATATGGGGAAATTCTGTCATAACATATTTGTAATAAACTATCAGTGACGACCCCGACCGCCGTGTCATTTCTACATATTATTTTCCTGGGCATAATATGCATGATTATGTGTTTATTTGATACTTATCTGTTTGTTTGTGAAATATCTGTTTAAATGTCGACTTAGAATTCGAAATTGAAACCCCAAACTGATTCAAAAACCAAAATTGATTAATTCAATATGCTAATTGGAATATTTAGAACCATATGGTAAGTTTAATTAAAATTTGATTCATATCAAAATAATTAGAATAATTTAACTATAATTGATTAGACTTAAGCCCAATTAATTAGTCTTAATCACATGTAATTAATAAAGCCTTAATCAACCTATATATATGCACTAATTAAGCTTAGACTTCATTTCTCAATAAACTTGAGTGGAAAATTGAGAAGGAAGAAGAAAGCTCAACATTGTAGAGAGAGAAAAGAGGAAATCAAGAGAATTCAAGAGAGATTGGATGGATTAAGCTAATCTAAGGCCAAATTCAAGCTGTAGGTAAGATCTTTACCCTTAATTCATGAGAACAATCTATGCAGGAAGATGAATTCACCAAGTTGTAGGACCATTTAGATGAATTAGAAATAAATGAGCTAGAACCATATTGACTGTAGTAAGCCTTAGTGAATTGTGTACTTGCATGCATAATTCTTCATCTTTAAACTTGGTTTTTCACAAATTCATACATGCATAGGACTTATATGAGTTATTTCTTAAGGTTCTTCATGGTTTTGCACTCAACATCTCATATAAATATGTTTTGTAAAGAAAAGAGTTGAGTTTGCCACATGCATGTCAAGAACATGATGTTTTGAGCTTTGTTTTGAAAAACTAAAAGATGATTTGAGATCATGGTTTCATAATTTCCAACAATTCATGTTTTATAAAGTGTTTCTAAACTTTTGAGACCAACTATGCAAGCTTTGAACAAGAAAAGAATGATTTTAAATTTCAAACACAAATCTGGAAAACCCAAAATTTGCCCAGTTCGCTCGAGCAAAGGATCCTTTGCTCGAGCGAAAATCAAAGGCATCCAATAATTTATAAATATTTGGCCGTTGGCTCGAGCGACTAAGTGTGCGCTCGAGCGAACTCACTTTTGTTTAGCACTTGGCTCGAGCCACCATCGATCGTAAATTTTGAGCATCCAGTACTTTTGCAGACCGGTCACACCGCTCGAGTGGCCAAGTATACACTCGAGCGAAGACCCTGTTTTTAACAAATTTTGACCACCACTTATACTTGCACATTTGCATCTTCATGCTCATTTAGGCGTTCTTTTGCATCATTTGAACATCCTTAATCATGGAACAAGCTAGAAACATACATAAGAGAATCAAACTAAGATACGTTATTTGTTTCGAATGTGTATTTGTGTTATGTGATTTGTGTAGGTGGTCAACCAAGGTCTATCGTCAGTACCAGTCCACTGTGAGTAGTATCTTTGTAAAGATATGTTATTAAAATGTATTTGGCTTACCGCAAGAATGTTATTTTGAAATGCTATTTTGATAAGAATGAATGAATGTCTCTTTAGAAAAGAATTTGTGGCATTCTTAGTGTAGCCCTTGCCTGGGGGTACCAATACCAAGTCCCTTTGTTATATGTGTATAGAGATCTCTAATGTAGACCTAAGTGGTCCCTTTGCCAGAACTATATGGTTCCTTCGTTAGACCCAAGTGGTCTCTTCGTTAGACCCAAGTGGTTCCTTCATTAGACCCATGTGGTCCCTTTGTGCACTAATGGATGTACCACATATGATTATGATTTGTGAACTTTGATATGACAAGTATTTAGATATGATTTGCTTTGAATTCATGTGATATGATTTTGTACTATGATAGACATCATTCATTTAACCTGTTTATACTGGTATTACTCACTGGACTTTAGTTCACCCCTTTTCCCTATATATATATATATATATATGTAGGTGAGAAAATGGCGTGTCAAGCTTAAGGAAACCTCGGGAGTCCACCATTTTGTCAGCCGTTTGGAGTGCCTCCGTGATGGGGGCGATCTTGGACTCATGCGGAGCCAAGTTGTGTCAACTTTGTGAATCAAGATGCTTTGTTTGGTTTACTTTGTTTAGTTCTTTTGTTTTGGAACTGGTTAAGTATGGATACTTTGTACATGTGTAGAAGATACTATGATGTATTTTGTATTTGCATCTATAAGAATGTTGAAGTTTAAATTTCATACGAACTTTCATGTATGCACTGTTCGATGGACATGTTTATATTTAATATTGTTTCCGCAAGGCCCCATTATTACTATTAATTGTTAGTTTTGTCTTTGAGGCCAGAGGTAATCTGGGATTACTGGCCGGTCACGACCTAAACCTCTGGGGTAGGGTTCGGGTTTGGGTCGTGAGGGTTCGGGTTTGGGTCGTGACACTATTTATCTCTAATACTATCGTATGCTTTATAGTTTGATTTTTATGTCTTTACAAATAAATGATTTGTACATCCCATGCTTCATACTATTCCATGCTTGATAGATTGATTTGTACATCCCAGCTCATCATATTACTTCATCTCATAGGTTGACAAATCAACCTTGTCATCATCCTCTTTCTCTCTTATGTCCCTCTCCTCCATGAACTGATGCATCTGATCATTTGTGCTATAGTCCTCCTCCATTTGCATATGCTTCTTACAGATACAAGCTTCTTTAATTGTTTGGACTACAACACTTTGTTCTTTACCTACCCTTACTGGGTAAATCATCCCCTTGCACTCTATATTTATCACTTTATTGATTGGCTCCATGCACTTCGTGGCAATCTTTATCTTTCTACAGGTAAAGGAATGTGACTAGTCCAAGTCTCCCTTAACACAAATGATTTCACCCCATAGACTACTAATTTTATTCAAATTGGTTCTATTCCATAGATTCAAAGGAATGCCATAGCAGCTAATCCAAACACATCTTTGTTGTTCCAGCACCAGCCCTAGTTCCCACATAACTACTTCACACTACTCCCCAATTATTTCCATTACATCCTTCACCTTTAAGTTCATCTCCTCCTTTGACTTAAATGACAATATCATCTCACGACCACCACCCTTTCTTATAACTATTTCTTTCATTCCTATTTCTTTAAGCTCTATCTTCAGTTAATATCAACATACTTAGCTTTCCTTCAAAGTATCACACTCTCATACTTCCATCCATTGCCTATTTCCTCAGCCTTTATTGGAACAACTCCTCCTACAGTAATGTTCTATCTCCGTATAAGATCTTTGTCCCATGTACGGATTCATCTCATTTCTTTCTTTAATTTGTTGAGACCTTTGCACAAATTGTCTCATTGTTTGTGGCTTTAGTGGACCTTTTGCTTGCGTCTCCCTTGCAAAATCAGCACTCTTTAGGTGATAACCTGACTCCATAGTGTGCTTTTATTCTTTAATTATCCATGTGATTATGTGTTTGATATGAAATTGCATGCTTAGTTGTGTGAATGATATGATTTGTGAATTTCTATCTATTGAGTGTAGGAAAATCTGTTGAAATAAGAGATTTGTGCAGAAAATTGAGGTTCTTAGAGATGTCAGAAACCAAAACTGACTTGATATTTGTGATCATCATGATTTCTAAAGCCTAACATGAAGTTTTGTAAAAATTTGATTCATAATGAATTAAATGCATTTAATTAAGCTAAGGAGTAAATAAGAACTAACTAACCTAAATTTTGAACTTAACTTAAGATAGATATAGATGAAGCCTTAGAGAACTGAGAGTTAGACTAAAAAATATCTTGTTGAGTGTTCTAGAGAGGGAGAACAAGATGAGAAAGGGAGAAGATCAAGTCAAGGCTTGAAAGCATGGGAATTTGAAGGGGATTAGCTCAAGGTAAGTAAAAATTAACTCAAACTCTTAGAATATCTCTTCACTTGTTTAAAATCAAGACTTGAACTGGAGATTTCACACCCAAAGGAGTCAGGGTTTTGGAATTAAGAGCTTAATTGAACTATAGTCTTGGAATTGAACTTGAATCAATTGGATGTGTTTGATTTAAGAGTGTATATATTTATCCTTGCTTGTTTTGAGGTTACTTGTGAAAACTTGAACCCTAATCTTTAGCCTTTGCAAGATTTAAACTCAAGAGTCATATATAAAATGAAGTTGTAAGTGAATTTGAAAGAAAATGAAGAAATTCATCAATACATGAAAGCTAGGGGCTTGATTTTGGAATTTAAGTAAGATTTGATTCAAATGTATATATGTTATGTTTTTGAAGTAAATTTATATGAATTGGGGCTTGAATATAAGTTTAGAAGCTTAAGGCTGAGATGATTTTCGGACAGGGCTGAATTGCCTAGAATCACACGTGCGGCTAGGAGTTTCGCACGTGCAGAACACAGAATGAAATAGGGGCTCGGCTTCTGCATTAATTGCACGTGCGGGCCGTACGTGTGGCACCTTCCGCACGTGCGGTAAGGGATTTCTGCACGTGCGAAAAACATGGTGAAAAATCGTTAATTTCTGCTAACGTATCCGATCCTCTGAACTTGTGTATTAGCATGTTTAGACTCTCTGGGATGTTTAACGATAAACAGAAAGTGAACAAATTGTAAATGATTAAATAAAGGAAAAGACTAAAGAATGAATGAATTGTTTACCGAATTCGTTTTTGTGTCATGATGTGTAGGTCGCCTGCAGGAAGGACCATTGTAAGGCCATTATCACTGTGAGTAGTAGTATTGTAAACATATATTTTAAAGTACTTATTTTCCTTCTTAAAGGATATGCCCTTTGTAACTTGTGTTTTGCTCAAAATGAATGAGTTTCATAAATGTGATATGATATATGCGATGTGGACCCAAGGTCGTTCTGCTATACTATGATATGTTTGGGCCCGAGGTTGTTTTGTTTTGATTTGATGTGCTTAGACGTTCTGATCAGCTGATAATTTAATGGGCCTGAAGTCGTTCTGATAATGTAATGGGCATGGGGCCATTCTGTTGAGTGGGCCTGAGGCCATTTTGATAATGTTCTATGTTGGACCTAAGGCCGTTCTGTACTATGTTGGGCCCGAGGCCGTTCCGCAACGCAAATATGGGTGTTGTATGGAAGCTATATCTTGGAAATTTTTGTCTCAGTTGCTATAGTCTTATAAACTCATGCTTAATCATTTAAACCTCTTTACCTTATTATTACTCATTGAGCTTCACTTAACCTGTATATATGTATGCATGTATATGTAGGTGACCAGCAGCATGGAGCCCAATCGTAGAGTCTGCACCAGGAGTTATTTTGTGAACCTGATTGGTCAAGTCTCCAAGATGGAGCCTCTGTCTTTTTGTCTTTTGACTCATTTTTGATAAGACTTTGTGTTAACTTTATCGTTATGGTCTTGGGATATGAAATCTGTATGTATAGAGAAGTTCTTTGGTACATAAACTTTTGCATGGACATGTAAATATGTGTGATGCGCTATGATATAAGCAATGTATTTTTTGATCACATTGGCACAGCGCAATGAACTTCTTTGTATGTGATATGCTTCTGCTTATGGCCCCATTATTGTATTTATTTTGTATTTTTGCTTGAGGCACTTGAGGCCGTAGGTAATCAAGTGATTACTGGTCGGTTATGATTCAAAATTTTAGGAGCGGGTTTGGGTCTTATTAGAGCACGAGTTAATGTCGTCTCACACACAAGTCCATTTGAGCTATACGGAGTCTAGAAGAGCTTTAAGTTGCATTCATGATGCTCATATTTGATATGCATATGATATGAAAGATGATATGAAGTATGAAATGAATATTGTCAAGATGTACATGTGTATATTTTCTGTGTGTGTTATAATTTATTGTTATATAGATCATGGTGAGAACGAGGGTGGATGACTTGGAGGAGTCTACCTCCACACGGCTTGATCGGTTGGAAATAATGATAATGGAAATGGTAGAGGCTATTAGACATCAATAACCTCAACAGCAACAACCTCCACCTATGCTTGACCCACCAATGGTACAAGACAACCAAGCAGAGGATTGACCAATTGCACTTACAAAAGAGTTCAAAAAGATGAAACCGCCTTTATTTCACGGAGGTGTGGACCCACTTAAGGCCAGAGCTTGGGTGTTGGGAATAGAGAAATTGTTTGAGGTTTTCCCTTGTATGGAGCAAGATGATCCCAATGGTGAAAGTTGACTGGAAAGAACATTACGGGAAGGAAGCCACTTGGGAATGGGACTAAGAAATGAGACAACAATATCTTGAATTATTTTTGACTTGAGGTAACACAAGTTGAGGGACCAAACTTCCTAAAGAGGGGAAGACTGTGATAACCTGGCTCCATAATATGCTTTCATTCTTTAATTATTCACGTCATTATGTGTTTGATATGAAATTGCATGATTAGTTGTGTGAATGATATGATTTGTGAATTTCTATCCATTGAGTGTGAGAAATCTATTGAAAATAGAGCTTTGAGGAGAAAATTGAAAGTCTTAGAGATGTGAGAAACCAAAACTGACTTGATATTTGTGATCAACAAGATTTTTAAAGCCTAATATGAAGTTTTGTAAAAATTTGATTCGTAATGAATTAAATGATTAACCTAAATTTGAACTTAACTTAAGATAGATATAGATAAAGCCTTAGAGAACTTAGAGTTAGACTAAAAAATATATTGTTGAGAGTTATAGAGAGAGAGAGAACAAGAGGAGAAAGGGAGAAGATCAAGTCAAGGCTTGAAAGCTTGGGAATTTGAAGGGGATTAGCTCAAGGTAAGTAAAAATTAACTCAAACTCTTAGAATATCTCTTCACTTGTTTAAAATCAAGACTTGAAATGGAGATTTCACATCCAAAGGAGTTAGGGTTTTAGAATTAAGAGCTTAATTGAACTATAGTCTTGGAATTGAGCTTGAATCCCTTGGATGTGTTTGATTTAAATGGTTTAACTTGGCGATCAAAAATCTGAATGGGTTTTTCTTCATAAACCATATCATCAGCCAAAGCAATTCGATGGTAATCTATAACATGGAAGGGATCCCGAAGGTAACCTCGCAACATTGACATGTGAAGTACATTATGTATTTGTTCCATACCCAACGGTAAAGCAACACGATAAGCAACCAGACCCAATCTTTCCAAAATTGGAAACGGACCTATGTATCGAGGAGCCAATTTCCCTTTTTCTTCCGAATCTTGTTTGTCCTTTCATTGGAGTAACTTTGATAAAAACATGATCGCAAATCTCAAATTCTAAATCCCTTATTCTTTGGTCCGCGTAACTCTTTTGACGGCTTTGGGCAATTTTCAATCTTTGCTAAATGGTCTTGATTTTTTCAGTAGTCACTTGTACAATTTCAGGCCTAAACAATGATCTGTCACCAACTTCGGTCTACCAAGCTGGGGATCGACATCTCCTTCCGCATAAAGCTTCATATGGTGTCATTCCTATACTTGAGTGGAAACTGTTGGAAGAATCTAGAAATCCCCTAGATGTTGATTTGTGATTATGTATCAATTTTAAGCAGAATATAACAATCCCAATCAAACAATCAAGACAAAGAGACACAACGATTTTACGTGAAAAAAACCACAATTGGACCCCTCCAACTGTGATCAAAAAACCAACGGGCAACAGCCACAAAACAATCCACTAAAAAGATTTAAAGGAATTACA